GGGGGTTATTACAATAAAGACTCGAAGTTATTTTGTTTTTTTTGGTAATCTTCTTCAAAACTTTGGGATATTATTTTTATTTTATTATCATTACCTAGGCTACCAACCGGGCCGCCCGGTTCACCTTATTTTCCCGGGCGGCCCGGCCGTTCAAGGACCAGGAAAGGTCCCAGCAAAAAGAAGGGGAAAAAAAAATCCCAAAATTCCGAAAAAAAAAATTATGTTATGCAGAAAAATAAACTGAACAACTTTTTCCTCAAAGTCACATCGAAAGTCTTTACCAAATTTAAAATATAAAATAATTTTATTTATTTATTTATTTTTCCTTTCCTTGGCCCGGCCGGGCAAGTGGTCCCGGGACCTAACTCAAGCTCTGTTGAAGTTCTTCCCGATTTATGCGTGTCATCCTTGTGGAGGGGCCATGCTAATCTTCAGTCTCTGCATCGTTCCAATTTTAAGGGATGTCCCGAAGGACAACCTACCCAATGCTTGGCAATCTTTTGTTGAAATGATTTATGAATTCGTTCTAAATTTAGTCAATGAACAAATAAGTGGTGTACCAGCAGTTAAACAACGATTTTTTCCTTTCATCTTTGTCACTTTTACTTTTTTGTTATTTTGTAATCTTATTGGCATGATTCCTTTTACTTTTTTCTGGAATATTTATTTCCATTCATTTATTACCTCCTCAACCGTGCTTACGGATATTACCTCTGCAGTCGGGTTGGGATACCGATACAGGATAGCTGAGGAGTTTGCCGTCGATCTCTTCGGGATTTCTGTTGCAACGTTCTTTATTTTTTTTAATCATCATCGCTGCACCGTATTTAGCCCTCAATTCCCTTCTCTCACGGGCGTGATCCTTCACTATGCCTGCGGTGAAGACTTGAATCGCTCCCTTCGATGTTAGGGTGGGTTGATGACTGAATTAGACTGATGGACTCGATGGATCAGTGGATTGATTAATCGACTTACCCACTGATTGATCGGCTGACAGATGAATAAATTGATTGATGGATTGATCGGTCGACTGATCGATCCACCGATTGACGTACTGAGTGATTGATCAATCTAACGATGGATTGATTGATCGATCGATGAATCGATGGATTGATTGATCAATCGATCGATCGGAGAATTACTAGATTGATTGATCGATTGATCGATTGATGGATTGGTAGAGTGATTCACGGACCAACTGATCGATTGATGGGCCGATTGATTGCTTGATTGATTGATTGATTGAGTTGGTTTATATTGATTATTGATGGATGGATTGATTGATCGATTGACTGATGGACTCATCGATTGATAGATTGATTGACCGATTGATGCATTGACTGACGCATTGCTTGATAGATGGATTAATCGCTTGATGCATTGATTAACCCATTGATTGATAAATTGATTAATGGATTAATTCATTTGCTTGATTGATTTAATCGATTGATGGATTGACTGATCGATTGATGGTTCGACTAATCCATTTGATGGTTCGACTGATCGATTGCCTGTATGACCGATTGCCTACATTATTATTGATCGCCTGATGACAAGGACTGATTGATCGGTTGTACTAATGTGTCTATTTTCAACAGCGCAGATGCGGCGCAGTCACTCGAGTGATCATTTATTTCATTACATAAAACGTTCTTCGTCATATCTTCCATTCACTTCCGCACCTTTCATTGGATCTCCGCTGAATTCGACCCAGATCACATACTTCATCGTTAACCGACATCACATACTTCATCGTTAACCCACATCACATACTTCATCGTTAACCGACATCACATTCATCATCGTTAACCGACATCAGCAGCGTTTCAAACCAAGCAGGGTAATGTACGGTTTGGTTAGGTTAGGTTAGGTCTCAAGCAGCGACTGAAGGCCGACATCATAGACATCAGCAGCATTAACCGATAAATCATCATCGTTGAAACCATCGATAATCTACGGTCGATGAGCTGTGAGACGACAGTCACACACATATATCCAACGTTAACTGATTCGCAACTGTACTTTACCGCTGGTTATAGCAGACTCGTCCTTTGAAGCATGAGGACATGAGCAAGGCCCAGGGCAAGGGCAACGAAAAGTGCACACGACTCAAAGCAAATGCACAGAGTCTCTCAGGGCGTACTCACACTACCACTCTTCTGAATGTATCTGACCGTCCTCACGGGCGGACCGGGATGTATCTGGCTGCGTTTCCGTCCGGAAATAAGTAAAAAGGTGCTATTGTGAGTATATATGCCCTCAGGGTGGCCAACAGCAGACGCCAACCGTGCGGGATGCATAATTGGAAATATTATCGTCATGGACGTCGCATCCCACCCGCCCCACCTTCGGACCCCCAACCCCAAGGACCTTGTGACCATCAGGGACAGCTAGCTTGTGGTGAAGCGCCACAAGTTCACAGACAGTCCTTCTGGACATCCGTTAAAATTGGCACGATACAGAGACTGAAGTGATAGAAATAGCAGAGTCAGTCAAGACCGACAGATGCCCGACACATAGCCGCGCTTACAGAGCCAGAATATATGTGAGAAAAAAGATCTCGAAAAAATCCAAGTGTACAACAATGAAGCACATTCCATAGCATTAGCTATGGCACCTCCGTCATAGTGAGGAGGAGCTGGCATCCCCGACTAGTTTCGGTCGCCGTCAGTTAGCAACCTCATCAGGGGGCGTTTCGAGATGGCATGCATAAATCGAGAAATGGTCCGAATTACAAAAAAAAAAAAAAAAAAAAACTCCGGAGACGAAACAACGACTGCAAGGACCTACTGAACCCCCCCCCCCCCCCAAGTGTCTGTTTATAATTAGGTAAATAACCCTCCTCCCCACTCCTACTACCTTTTACGACCGCCACTGGTTACCAGCTGAAATTCTCATCGACCTTTCGGTCCCTGAGGAGAGCTGGAACCGAAAGGTCGCTGAGAATTTCTGGAAGGCCCTGGCTATGCAAGGGTCAATAAATTGGGGGTTGGGGGGGGGAATGCAGGGGACAATTATTTTTTTTTTGGGGGGAGGGGGGGAGGAGGGGGAGGAGGAAATTGCAAGAAGGCCGTGGCTGTGCAAGGGTCAATAAATTGGGAAAAAAGTTCAAAAAACGAATTTTGGCCAGGGCCTTACCACCACCACCAATGCACGCGTCGCGGTTCGCCCTCATGGACTGAGTAATTGCCCCAAGCGCCAAGATCATCATGATTATTTCTTCTTTTTTTTGTTCCCTCTCTTCTCTCCCCTTTTTTCCCTCCTTCCTCAAGAGGGGAACGGTCTTGAGATATCATCATCGAGCGGACCGGCCTCAGGTAATCCAGAACTGCCTATTTCATCATCGAGCGGTCCTGAGATATCATCATCTCTGTACTTGAGATATCATCATCAGGATTCGAATTTGGGTCTGTACTTCAACAATTCGCGGGTGTACCAACTGTGATAAAGGCTCGTTCGTATCACGACTATTTCGATTCGACATTCTCTCTTTTCATCAAAACCTTTGATACAATATTTCGACATTTCTCCGATTCTTTCTTCTTTAATATTAATAAAAAAAGAAACGTGTAGGGGGGCGGGGGGGGGAGGGGGGTGGTTCCGAAGAATACACCGAAGTATTCTCGATTTTTTTTTCTCGAATACTAGAATCTTGATACAATATACTAGTAATTCTCCATAATAAGATATTGAGTCAAAGAGTTAAAACTGATAGACCGTAGTAAAACGAACGTTCATCTATTGATCCGACACAATGCCGCGGAGATCTCATCTCCGAGCCGTTCGATATGGTCGCCCATCACACGGCTCGCTCTCCAACCTGACTCTTCTGGACCCAAGGGGAGCATGGGGGAGGAACGGCAAAATTTCGGACACCCCAACTTTGGTGGTTGATAATTCTTTTTTTTTTTTTTTTTACACTTGCAATTTTTATTTACAAAGCCGAGAACCGGGCCCCGCGTCCCTCACAAAATAGAAAGGTGAGACCTCTGAACGGGTGATTGATAATTCGTAATTTCCCCCTTGTGGCGATTAAAAAAAAAACGAAAAAAAACAAAAAAAAAAAAAACGAAAAAAAAAATAAGGGATCTACGGTAGGTTCGGCAGCATCCGCAACAGATCAAACGCATCATCATATGTCGATCAGAGCAGAGTCGCTGTGACCTCGAAGGCCTGACGACTTCTCATGCTCAGGAGGCCAGAGTGGTGGGACTGGTTGGCTTCGACAATTCAAGATGATGGACACCGTACTGATTGGTGCTGCTTTCGCATCCGGACTGAGACGACGACAGTATAAAAACAGTCATCCAGTACTACGGTATAAAAACGCTTTTTAACGTGATTACTTTATAAAAAACTTGGTATAAAAAGAGTCGTCCAGTAAGTACTACGGTAGGACTGACACAGCAACCTCGCACATTTGGCAGTTAGCAAGCTGTTACGCATCAATTACCGAGGCTAACAACGCAAGGAATCCAATACCCTCATCGTTAACCTCGCCCAAAAGATCATCACGATCATCGTCATAGGGGGAGAAAAAGAAAATCATCATCATCATCATCAACATCATCATCGCCCTCATCAGCATCAGCATCATTATCGTCATCATCATCAGCATCAGCATCGGCACCCTCATCGAGAACCCCTACCCTGATCGCTGCCGCCAGCGACATTGATTATGATGAGCGCCGCATTGCACCGTCATCTCCATTCCACCATATCCTCACTCCACCATATCCCCATTCCACCATATCCCCATTCCACCATATCCCCATTCCACCATATCCCAATTTCATCATATCCCTATTCCGCCATATATCCCCATTCCGCCATTACGCTCATCCCCAATCCGCCATTACGCTCATCCCCATTCCGCCACAGAGGATAGAATGGGTATAAGCGGAACCGCGACAGTGTACGACTCGATGGGAAGTTACGAGCGGACGGAAAACGGGATGCAGCCGACTCGATGGGAAGTGACGATGAAGAGGGAAGACATCTGTGCTGTGTTTTAACTCTGACATTGGAAGCTCACAAACACGTAAATTAATGTTTTTTCGACTTTTTTGGCCACAAAACAAATATAACTAAAAACAAACAAATGAAACAATGAGACGTAACTCATGACCACGACGACGATGATGAGGAGGAGGAGGAGGGGGAGGGGGGCGTGACGGAGACCAAAGAAACAAAGAAAGAAGAATGATGGCAAAAGACACGTAGAAGCGAACGTCTTTTTCCTTGCACTACGTAGTCTCCGTCTTACCAGCCGACCGTAGATTGCGATGGGGAAATCACAATTAATGCAGAAGTGCACTTTTTCACCGGCTCTCCGAACGACCTTCTTTCCGCAGATGTCTAACCCGTTCACTCCGACGACTTTTCCCGCTCCCTTGACAGTCCCCCCCTCCACTGCTGAGGCGGCGCCAGCGGCTGCAGGCGCAGCAGGGGGTACACCACCACTTCCCCCCTGCTGCTTCCCCAGGGTATCATCAGGTGCGGCAGCTCCCCCCCCGGACCCCGACAGCCCGGCGCCGGCGCTCGTCGCACCATCCTTAGCGGCAGCGGCCGCCGAAGGGGAGTTCGTTACCAACTGCTCGCCCGCGCCGCCGGCTGCCGCTTGAGATGATCGGTCCGCCGAGCCGGTGCCTGAGGCTGCGCCCGCGCCGCCAATAGCGAGCGCTGCTGTTGCTGCATCTCCTCCCGCCGCAGCTTTAGTCGCTTCCGAACTAGCTGCCGCTGCTGATGCGCTGACGTTTCCGCTTCCGCTAGCGGCTGCGCCGGCAGTAGCACCCGCCCTTGCGCTCGCATTCGGTGGCAATGACGGCTGGCTCGGAGCGCCAGCAGAGGTGGGAGGCTTCGTCAGACGGATGGTTAAGTTCACCATCGTCGTCGAGATTGTGGACGCGACAAGGACGGGTTGCTTCTCCCTCTCCCTCTCCCTCTCCCGTCGTTGCCCCCAATCGTCGTCGATTGACCTCTGATCTCTATTCTCCCTACCTATGCCGCCGCCGCCGCCGCCGCCACATTATCAACCTTGCCTTTCACCGTAACAAACCCCTGCTACCGATAGGCACCCTTCCCCCCCCCCCCCTCCTGTCTGGCACCCTTCTCTTGCCACCGTGGGTAATCCCTCCGTCCGTCTGCCCGCCGCCTTCGTTACCCCGCCTCCTCGCACTCCGCAGGTTCCCCACAAACTAGCTCTGTCGGGATTGACACGCGCGCAGAGAGCAGGCGGAAGGCAGACAACCCGACCCCTCTTCCTTCCAACCTCGACCCCGTCGCTTACATCGCATCCCTGGGAGTTGCTGACCTGGCGGCCGTAGATACGCTGAGTAATTGCCACGTGGCGCGCGCAGTGGACCATGTTCCTCTCTCGTTCCCGGTATGCAAATCACGGCGCGAAACTCTACGGCTTAAGCAGAGCCTCCGCATACGGTACACGTACACCTCGGCTGCTGGCGCAACGCGTTGCTGCCCTACCGCACACCTCACCCCTCCCCACACGCCTGATCGCCTCCTGCGGCCGTTGGATTGACCCGCTATCCTTCCTCCGGCCCCCCGCGTCTGCGCCTCCATCCGCCATTACCTACTCCTCTGATCAATAGCGGGAGCGAGCTGCAGCATGGTCCTCCTCCATCACCACCTGCACCGCAATGATGTTTTGATGGATGACGACGGCTGTGAATTGCCCGCCCACTCGAAACGGACATTCTCCTTTTAGCCTCGAGTGAAGCCAAGAAAGCGCGGTTCCCTCCATTTGCGCAGCCCTCCACCCATCTTTGCATCCATAGACAGGGCCGGCGGCAATATCAAAAAACTCCGTATCGTCCACACTCCCGCGCGAGCAGTTTGCAGCGGCGGAACATTCAACATTCAACCACCTTTAGACTACTCTGAGGGCATGTATCTGCCCTCGATTGCGGCCAGGTTCGATCCAGGAAGTCCTCGTCAGCAAGGTCTTAGGATCATGTTCTTGATCGCGCCCTTTCTCGGCGGCAAGGACTCCGCCTCTCCCGCCACGACGTCAAAGTTCCCGCTCTTTTTTCAATCATCACCGCGCCATCGTGTGGATGATGCCCTGACTTGACGCTACTCTGCCAGAGGAGGTTCACACAGAGACAACTGCTGCTCGCCCGCCATCTCTTGCTTCCTCACAAGCTTGAGCTGTTAGACCACAAACCCGAATCCACCTCACGATGACGTCGAGCGTACGGTCGTATCAACGGTCAGTCAGCTCCGATCCATAGGTTCACGTGCTCAATTTTTTTTGCTCTACAAACCGACTCTTCTTTTCCGGAGGAAAAGTTGCGTTATACCCCTCCGAGTTGAGATAAATGCCAAAATGCCCCTAAAAGATGTGGGTAGAGAGGAATGCCCTTTTGGCCTGAATTTTTTGTTATATGCCCCTGTCAGGCCTGGGCGCAAATTTGCAATCTGCCCCAAAGGACATGGGCGCAGATTTGCAATCTCAACCTCTCCTTTGGGGCCTGGGCCTGCACGCTGACTTACCCAGTTCGCCCTCCCCACACCACGCGGACATCTTTGCAGAATACCCAGCCCTAGGCACATTTTAAACGGTCACTCATGGTTGCCCGCATCGACGTTAAAAAATAACAATGTCGATAATATCTAGGAAGATTCTCACGCCCGGGGGGCTCTGGCGCCCGGGGTACCCAGGAGTGCATATATGTTATTTTATTTTATTTTGGTTTTTTGCGCTCTCCCAGAGGACCCCAAATCCAGGCTCATTTCATTTTTTGCGATGGCTGTCAAGGAGGGGGGCAAGGGGGTATAAGTTGGTTTTAAAGGGGCTACAGGTTTAAAGAGGGGTGCCTTTGTATGATTTTGTAGGTTTTTTTTAATCTCCAATTTTGAGAGGAATTATAATGTGACCCTCAACCAAAAATCGTTTGTATTTCAATTCTACACAACATTTGTTTTCTCCATAAGTTTTTTTTTTTTTTTTTTTTTTTTAAATATGCTAGGGCTGCCTGAAACCTTGCCCGGGGGTCATGCGCTGTCCGGCACCCGGGCGTGTATCCGGGCGTCAGGAAAAACAGCCTAGGATAACATAGCATATACTCCTTTAGTCTTAAACCACCACTACCTTTCTTTGTGTTGGGAAAAACGGGAATATACGCCACACCGTGTTTTTCGGGGGTATAGCAATAGGGAAATGTTTGAAATTTGTGGGTCCGCGAATACAAAGGAATATATAT